CCTAATAAGCTGATCATCAATAGGACCAAAAAAAAATTATGCAAGGCCCCTAAACTTCTGTTGGAAAGTCTTCTTGGCAGTGACATTTCATTGGCTTTAAATACTAACTAAATTGCTAAGATCATTTCGTTTGAGATTGAGATGGATTTTGATAGGTAAAGTAGTTACATAATTGGCTAGCAAACAATCACTTCCTTTAAGCTAAGCTTCCTCGGACTTCATTCTTAGATACATAGGAAACTTTGATAGGCTCTCCATGGATGTAATTAAGATTCTTTTTGTTAAGATTGTTTTATGGCAATCATTCCTTATATAAATCTAATGATGCATTCATGCAAAATAAAGTAGAGAAAAAATGTTAGTTAACATAATATAACATATACAAGGAATAACATAATATATACAATGAACAATATAAAAGGTTAGTATGCAAAACTATATACAAGGAATAATAAATTTACAAGAATAGTAATTGTCACATCATGTGTCCTACTTAGGTTTTTTTCTAATAAAAGGGAGGACAGGGCTCTAGCCTAGGTTTAGATCCTTAGGGTTCATGTACATGAAGGGTTCAAAGGCTTGACAATCTAAAGGCTCTCAAATTGTTCCTTATATCATCATCTATTATAAACTAGTAAGGTACCCCAATCCTCACCCACCATTATAGACTCAAACAAAAATGGTTCAATTTGAGTGGTAGTTTCGCTAGCTCACACGAAGGTTATAACCTCACGAGAGTGTAGGTACTTGGTTCCTCCTAATAAAGGATAAAGTCAAGGTATTATGCATGAATGCAAGTGTGGTGTGTGTAAAGAGACATGCCGCATAATCAAATAAATAGGTGTGAAAATAATATTTGTAAAACAAACAAATAAGAAATCACAAACAAATAGGTTAGTCAACATAAATAATTACATAATAAAAACTATCAAAGCAAGGCTTAAGATAATATATAGCTAACTAATGACTGGACTCTCTAATATCTCTAGTGGAGTCACCAAACTATCATAATGTTTAAGTTAAGAGAACCTACCCATTAGATACAAAAATCATGGAGTCGCCACCTATTTTTTTTTTTTTTTATCTAGGTGTGATTAGTCACTTATGCGAATCTATCTTTTCTAAAGTTGTGCTAAGTGTAAACCAAAGGTCCCTAAAAGAAAAAAAATTTGGTCTACATCATCAAAACTAAGGTTAGGGAGTTGGTTATGTGTAGGGAAAGTATTAGCACCCCTTTACATCCAAAATTGATACCAAATTAATTATGTGTTACCTTACCTAAGTCTTACCAAAGATAGTTTTATCATGCAAATAAATTAATTTCAATCCTTTTATTTATTTACAAAAAATGGTGATACAAAAAGGTATTAAACTATCAAGCAATCATGCAATAAATATTAAATCATACCATGCAAAAATTATCATGCAAATATAATACTATAAATCATACCAAGTATCATGTAATAATATCATGCCTAGATTTGCTAAAATATTCATGCAAGAATGCCATGCAAATATATTAATTATCATGCAATAATAACAATCATGTAAATATACCATGAAAATATATTAATAACCATTCATGTAAATATATAATCACACAAATATATTATGTATAATCATGCAATTATGCACACAATAAATATAGAAACATGTAATTAAATATCATTCAAATATAATTTAATTATGCAGTAACATATAATATCATATCATGTAATAAATATAAAATTATGCAGTAATAATAAATAAATAAATAACTATGCAAATAAATATATTAATAATTATACAATCACACAAATAAATAAATTAATTAATTAATAATAATGCAAATAGACATGCAATTAAGTATATAATCATGCAATTAATAATGTAAAATCATGTAAATGAATAAGCAATTAAATATATAATCATACAAATAAAATACAAATCATGCAAATAAACATACAATTAAACAAATAGTAATATAAATCATGCAAATAAATATGTAATTAAATATATAATCAGGTAAATAATAATATATAAATCATGCAAAAAAACATGCAATTAAATATATAATCATGCAAATAAATATATTAATAATCAAGCAATTAAATACGTTAATAATCATGTAATCAAATTAAATATAATCGCACAAATAAATATATAATAATCATGCAAATATATTAATAAATCACACAAATAAATATATTAATCAAATATATTACGCAAATAAATTATCTAGCAAATATATTATTAGTCATGCAAAAATAAATGTCGTGCAATAAATATAAATATAAAAGTAAGCAATTAAATATTATAAAAATATGCAAAAATCACAAAAAAAAAAATGAAAGCAAACATTACCTCAATGAGTCCCAATAATTTTTCACTTTTCAAAAATTGATACATCATACTATAAATTTTAACCTTTCTTCCAAAAACTCAAACTGGATCTTTTTGTAAATTTTTTGCTTGATTGCTTATTCCTTGTTAATTCAAAACTTTGCCCAAATTTTTACTTTTTTCAATGACCTATGTTTGATCATAAAGTAAATTACTGTGAGGTCCCCATTTTGATCACAGATTCAAGGTCCTCATTTTGATCACAGATTCAAGGTCCTTATATAGGGATTGAATTAATTTAACTGAATCTAGGATTTTTCTTCTAATTTTATTCATTTAGTAATCTTTCCTTTTTTCAACAAATTGAACCTAAAGTCTTTTCAAAATTATTAAACTATTAAAGTTAAAATCTGACATAGAATCTAAGAGTTGAATTGAATCCAAGATTTTTCATACAAAATCCCACATTTTCCCCATTTTTTGTTTTTTTTTTACTAATTGACTTTGACTCTTTTGAGTAAAAAAACAAAAATTAAACCAAAAATTAAAATACAAATAAGATTTAAGACTTAATCTTTGGGCTCAAAATTTATTTTTCTAATTAAGGCCCAATTGCACAATCAAAATTAAATTTTGAAACCAAATGAATTTCAAAAAAATCTCCAGACAAAATGGGGTGTCAACACTAATTATCTGTACTATATTAATTTTTAATTAAATTAAAATTTAAAATAAGTAAAAAATTTATGTATACTCAATTTGAGTTTTGAATTGCTTCAAATTTGAGTTAATTAATCATGCTATTTTTAGCTATACTTTTGTGATATTGGTAATAAACTTCAAAATAAAATGAGAACACAATACAATGACAAAAGTTATGAAGAAACAAATGATAATTTTAGAAGAAAATCTATATGTCCAAATCTTATAGAGATTAAATGATATATCTTTTTTTTTTTGGATTTTAAAATTCGTATTGCAAAAAAGTTAATCTAAAGCAGCGAGTTTATAATTATTCATTTGCTGATCAAGTTGCTACTGTATGTTGAAAGAAACAACTCAAATATTTCATTTAAAAAAGATATTATAATTCATACTTATTTAGGAAAACAACATACAATTAAACATTATTTGGGTTGTTATGACCCTTGCAATATTCTTTGCTCTTTACAAATGGAGAAATTGATTGGTATCAAAATATCAAGAATGATGATAATAAGAATGAAATAACAATTGGGAATATAACGTCTTTTCGTTTTATAAAAAAAAAAATTGAAAAAGAATATGAATGTAATTACTGCGAACTTAATATTTTAAAAATTTTTGTCTATTTATTTTTATAAATTTTATTTAGTAATATTTTACTACTTTTATCATACATATAATAAAAATTTCACCCAAAATTATATATTGAAAAATATAAATAAAGAGCAAAATTTATTGCTTTCATTGTTAGTAGAACATTTCAAATTTTCAATCTTTTATATACAATCATATTTTGCTAACATGAATAAAAATACTTACATTAATAATTACCAATAAAACTTATCTTAATATATACTATTTTACCATCAACCAAAAATTTAAAAAATATCTTAGAAATATTGCCTTAATATATATTGTATATATTTATTTAATTTAATTTTAATACTTACATTATAATAGAACTTATGTTTTTAATTTATTATTATATGTTAAATTACGTATAGCAAATTAAGAGCATTTATTCATTGCTTTTCAAGTTGTCTATTCTTCAACTTTTTCTCACTTTTTTTTTTATTGTTAAATTATATCATCTAGTATACATTATAATTATTTTCTTTTTGGATATACACAAATTAATAATAATATAATAGTAAATAATTAATAATTTAATAATTAATAATTGAAAACTTAAAAATAATCAGTATAACTTAGTAGTAATCATTAATAATTTAATAATTAACCAATGATAACTTAATAGTAAATTATAAATAGTTTAATAATAAATTAGTGATAACTTAATAATAAATAAATAATAATTTAATAGTTAATAATTGATAACTTAATAATAAATCAGTAATAATATAATATTAAATACACAATAACTTAGTAGTAAATCAATTATAATATAGTTGTAAATTTATAATAATATAATAATAAATCAATTATAACTTACTAAAAAATAAGTGATAACTTATCAAAATTATGTTAAAAGGTTATCAAAATTTTATAAAAATTATAAAAGTTATATTAATGGCTACAAAAATTATATCATAAGTTACTAAATTAATATAAAAAATTTTTAAAATTATATAAAAAATTATCAAAATTTTATTAAAAATTTTCAATCTTTTAACAAAAGTAACCAAAATATAAAATATTATCAAAATTAAAATTATATAAAAGATTATCAAATTTTACTTATATTAGCCCAAAATAAAAATTAAATTATTAATATTTAACATTATTATCGTAATATTCAAAAAAATTATTTATTAAATTGAATCTTCAAAGATAAAAAAAATTTTAAAGACAAAAATTATAGCCAAAAACTAGTTATCTTAAATTGACAGAGTGAGCTGGCCTAGACTAACAGGCGCGAAGTGAGATTTCAAAGTCGTTGGTCGTACTACATTTTATTAAAAAAAACATAGCATCATTGAACTCTATGTTTCTTAACATTGAGTCTTACTCTCCAAGGAAACCATGGTCAACGAAACCTCCTTTTATAAACACCGTTTCCACACTCTTTCCTTCTCTTTTATCCAAGTCTTGGAGCTAAAATTTCAGTTGTTTTTTTCCATCTTTTGCAATTCTGGGTCCATGAGTTTTTTGAGACCATGTGCTTCGTACAGGACTCTCATAACTTTCCCTTCACTAAGATGGATGCCTTGCCAGAGCTGGGGTTTCCTTAGATGGCCAGGTCTTGATGGGTTGTTGAGGTTCGTGGTGGTGGCTCTTTTGTGGACCACGTTTTCTGAGATTCGTTTCATTCCTTCTTCTTCTATGTTCCCTACTCTTCGTGTTGGTGATCGAATCATTGTTGAAAAGGTAAACATCTTTAGCCTTTCACTTCTGTCGATGGTTAGTTTCGTACTCGTTGATACTAGGATGATAGGATCTTTGCTGCTGAATTCAGTTTTAGTATTTGCAGCTTCAGAAATGATGTATATATGTGGCCGTCTTATCCATTGAGCTTAACATTGCCATTAAACTCCATTTCTGTCTTGCTTCAGATTGAATTCTGTGGATGATCTCATATTTTGCTTAATTATGATAGATTTGTGTTTTCTAACTTTTGGTAAGCAACTTTCCTAATTTGCTAAGTACATTGTATGGTCATTTGATCTAGAACGTAATCAGATTTCTTTTTGCTGGACATTTTGAGTAATGGTTTGTCCAAAGATAGATGTGCTTCGTTACCATTTTCTCAGGAAAGCACAAAGCACAATCTTTAACTATTCTTTCCATATTAATCAGTTAAGCTCTGTAGTTGTTCCCTAATCCTAAGAGAGCATACTGAGCAGTTTTTAATAAATGATATGTTAGATTCATCTTCATCTTTGTTAACAGCCTAATATTAATTAGTGCTTTAATAAGATAAAAAAACCCTTAATATTTCCTAGTTTGCCAAACCAGTTTGGTAATATAATCCCTTCGTTCAGTTGTTAACCTGATATGGGATATTGTGAGTTTAGATTTCCTTCTATTCCAGCTAAAGATACTGTGTGACGAGCATCACAAAATTGATTTGCAAATTGCAGTTTCTAAGGTTTCTAAGGTTGAAAATTTACAGTTTCTAAGGTTTCTCTTAAAGCAAGTTTCTAGTTTTGCTGATTCTTTGCTTCATCCTGCTGCTAATTCCTTGAAAATGTTTAGAAAACTGTCTGAATTCAGAAGTTGATTGCAAACCTGCTGGCCTGTAATGCAAGAAAGAAGTAGAAAATAAGAATTAAAATAAGAGAAATCTTAGTTTAATTTGACAAAATCATGACTTAAACAAAGAACTTCCAGATTTTAGTTTGTTGAGAAATTATACAAGTACCTGTGTTTGAGGCGAAAGATTTTTCAAGCAATACATTTACGGTGATGTGGTATTTTGTTCTGTTAAGACATTGCAGCAATGGAGTCCTCATGGAAATCCTACTGAAAACCAGAGTATGGCTGGTGCAGCTCCCTTAGAATTGAAAAATTGGGACATCTAATGCATCCTCTGCTCACCCTCCTTCCATTCTCCCTCTGTCTTCTTCTATGATGGCTGTGTCAAAAATGTGATTCTCCTGTTGTTTATTGGTCCATGGTTTCATATTACAGCATTCGTTGGCCATAAATGACAAAAATGTTTTGTTATAAAGTGCTCATGCAAACATTTAACAGTTTATAAAATCTTCTTAGTAACCATTTAATATTAGGTTTGTTCTTATTTTCTATCAGCGTTTTCCCCTAATCACTAGATTATTAAAACTCTCCAAAAACAGGTAGCGATTTTCTTGTGTTAAACTGTTAATTATAATAAAGGAGTCTATAATCATTAATCTGTCTTCTATTATTACAATTGCACTTGGACATTCTTTGTTTTTTTTGGTATATCTCAAGTAGAATTTTTCAATAATCAGGCTCTTCTCTCTTCACATTTTAGAGTTTGTGGAATCACCTGAATTTTGATACTATTCGCATAGTCATGTCATATTTCTATCTTACTTTAGTTAGAGGCTGGCCAGGGATTTCTGTCTGATCTTTGTTCTTGATTTGTGGCCTTATGATAAATGCTGCCAAGAGGTCTTGGCCCTTCTCTAAACTTTACTCTTCACTGTTCAATACTATTGTAGGATAGTCATTGCCAGAGCCCTGAAGACTTCACAAGCTGTCTGTATAGACTTTAACATTGTAGATAGGAGATCCTTGGAACCAGAAAGTCCGGTCAATGGTTCATCTCAGTTTCTGTTTTAATGAAAGTCTGAAAATCATTAGAATAGTGAGCAGGATTCCTGACATTCTAGTCCAGAAAGCTTATTTTAGTAGAATTACTAGCAGAGGAAATGTTTACATTCTTAATTGACTTTAGAGGGCAATTAAACAACATGAAAATGTCCTTTCTTAATTCACAAACAAACCCTGTTATTTTTCTTAATATATTTTTCTTCTGCTTAATGCAAATAGAGCTCTAATATAAAATTCTTTGTGCTTGTTATGGAATTTTGCTCAGTAACAGTATGCCTCATGATTGTGATTGACTTAGGAGTAATGGTCCTGATTTGCTTTACCATTATGTTGTTTACACTCATTTTAACTGTTGCTTTGCAACTTGTCCAGGCCTCATACTTCTTTAGAAATCCTGCTATAAATGATATTGTAACATTCCGAGCTCCGGAACAGGTTTGTTGGTTTGGTATAGAATTGCCTAATTGCTTGCACCCAATAGAAAATCTTATGCTGAAGTATTCTTATCTTCTTATTGTGCTACAGGAATCTGAATTTGGGAAGGATGCAGTTTTCATTAAGAGAATTGTTGCAAAAGCTGGAGACTTGGTTCAGGTATTATTGATTCTGTTACCATTTTTCTCATTAATATGGGTTGGGTGTAAAATATGGTTATGGCAAATTGAAAGTTCTGTGGAGGCTGCAGTCACACTAATTCTACTTTTAGTTCTTTATCTTTTTTATCAATAGTTACTGTCATTTATACTGATTTTTTTTTTTTTTTTTGTAGTTTAGTTAATTTTGAATGCAAGAGTGCAAATAAAATTCAATCACCTTTCGTTTTATCCCTTTAGATAAAGTTTCTGAAGCTCCTTCATTAAATTTCTATATTGATCTGCACCTAATGTCTGCAAGACAATATCTTAATTCAAAGTTCAAGCTGCAAAAGAAAATCAACTTGAAACAATTAAATGCTGAAGGCTCTTCTTTTTCTTCTTGTAAAATGTTTTCCTCTAATACTGTGCAGGTTCATCACGGCTCACTCTATGTCAATGGAGTTGCACAAAATGAAAATTTCATAGCTGAACAGCCATCATACACATCAGATTTAACAGTGAGTCCCATTTGTTGTCTCTCCATTTAATTCTTGAGTTTTCCAGCATTTGATGGGCCAGAATAATATTTTCTTTAATAAGACATTAGGGGTAGGAACCACCATGGTAAATTATTCAGCAATTACCTAGTAAAGCTCTTTTACTATTTTGCCTTATCACTAGATTATGTACAACAAATGTGAGAATGAAGAAGCCTGGTGGACTCCATAATGTTGATATTTGAGCCTCCATAATTCAAATCAATTTGGATTCGAGTTTATTATAGGGCTTAGGATGATGTTACACTGTTTGCTTGGTCCACACTTTCTTATTTTTGTATTCACAGATGCTTCGTGCTGATTTTTTTATTTTCCTCCTATCTGCAGTATGTGCCTAAAGGTCATGTTTATGTGTTGGGGGACAACCGAAATAACAGCTATGACTCCCATAATTGGTACATTCATACATTCTCCCTTTCTTCAAATTTTCTCTGTTCAACTCTATTTTTCTCTTGTTCTTTATTCTTTAAAGCAACATGATTCTTGATATATTGATATAATTGAAAATATACTGCTTCACCCTTGAAAGGGTTCTTAAGAGGGACATAATTCTTTAAAAAAGGGAAATTAACTTTGTAATTTCCAATTTAAAGAATAATGTTCCAAGAGAGCAGCTTCTTGAATGTTGATTTGGCTTTTGCTCTTCTTGCACTTGTAATTTGAAATGTGATTTATACTGTAAACGCAATTCGATATTTGATTTTAACTGGCATCATCAATGTTAACTTATATCATCAATGTTGATTGATAATGAAGGGGCCCTCTTTCCGTGGAAAACATTGTTGGAAGATATGTGATGTGCTGTTATAGGCCTTGCAACCATTGACCTCCTGCTGATTCGGGATGAACTAGATATGCCAAACTTTCTCAAGCTTTGGCAAATCTCATTAAAAAGTAATTTAGCTGAAATGTAGATGGATGGAGTTGTAATGCTGTTGTGCTGTAATTTGACTCACCAATTTGGCATAGATTTGCATTCGAGATTAGATGCTATTGATGTAGCTTGTTTATATCCTTGTAAATTGAATCCTGGACCGTTGTTTTGTGATTGTGGATGGTTAAGATAGACAAATATTGTGTTTGTTTTGAACTTCCTGTTGGATGGATGAAGCTATGGACTCTTGAGTCTTACCTTTCAAGCCAAGTTAGGAGGACTGGCAAAAAGAGGTTCCTGGTTACTGTTTTAAATCCATCCTACCCAACATCAGAGGGGGAAAGGGTGATATTCCCATTTTTTGTCTTCCAACTTTAGCTGACTTAGTATACCATGCCAGCTATAAATCTTGCTTCAAACTTTCTTTCCGGAGCTATAATTCTCAATGCAGTCATCAAACAGTTCATATACACATAAAATCCATAGTTCATGAGCGAATTTCAGAGTGAATGATCTTGATATATAAATGATGGATACATTGAAGATTATTGATCACATAAGGTTATTTTTTTTAAAAGATTTTTTAGAGCAAAATTCTTTCCTTTTACCAGCCAAATGGAGATAAAAAGTGTATGAAGTTGGGTTAATTTTCCTTGCAACCAATGGTATTCACTTTATTTTAAATTTTTTTTTTTTTTTTTTTTACATTTGAGATTATTAAAATTAAAAATTCGATATTATTTATTAACAAATCGCATGAATGTTGAAAACATTATTTTAACAGCATTCTTGCCTTCTAAAATTGGATCCAAAGAAAGATCAACACATGCAACTTGATTTTCTACAAAGAAAAATTAAGATCATTTTTGCATATATTTCGAGGCGTAATCATATGAATGGAGATTAGAGAAGAAGGAAAAAGAATAAATTTTGAAATCTAGCGAACTAGCTTGGGCCATCAATTGCAGAATCAATTCGTCAAGAAAGAAGTAAAAAGCCCAAAACTTATATTTAATTTATTCCCTTTCTTGCCTCGCTGCTGCTACCTGTTGATGCCGCATGCGGGTGAGGATTGACGAATCACCCTCTGCTGGCTTCAACAATATAAAGATCATTGGGAAATCTGGCTTTTATCCGTCCTGCTCTCATTCTCTAATCTTAACCCTGAAAGTATCATAGATTTGGATTTCTTAGTTCTCCTACATGGATTTTTTTTTTTGTAGTATATTTATATATATATATATATATATATATATATATAAAAGAGCTAGGAAACATTATTCAAATCATGCCACTTGAAGAATCGATTCCGCCGTGTAATGTGTAATGTAATATGAAACCAGTTACAACTAAATTAACTCGTGTTTCGTAGGTAAAGTAAAATCAAATATTGGAGATTGTTCATAATATTTTTTTAATTTTTTTTTTAAAATTAATTAATTTTTTAAATAAAAATATATATTAATTATTGAAATAAATATCTATTTTTTATTTTAATATGTTTAATTATTAGCATTAGTATATTTGAAATACTGGTCAAAATATAATCATGGTCGCGTGGTCATTTCAAATTTTCCTGACAGCACTCAACTGCAGATGTGTGAGGCTTTGACCACTTAACCCTTGAGAAACAAAAGCCATGTGAGACATGACTCCATGTCAATTCTCAAGTGACTCAACCCAGCTCTCCTCCACAGTCCACCATCACACTTCCACATTTCCACTCATGTCCGAGGCTTCGTAAGCTCTTAAGAGATTCAGACGAAACATTCCACTGAATTAATGAAGTGTTTGAAAAGTAAAATTCAGTGCGTTTTATGTTTTTTAATTGCGGAGGCTTAAAAATTGACTGAACTTTTAGAATTTACGGAAAACATTTCACTCTCACTGTAATATTTTTTTTCCTTTATTACCTATGTTCTTTTTTTTTTACCCTTAAGATTACAGCGATGAAATGTCTCTGTCACTTGTATGCTTTATTTTTATCTTTTTTATTATTTATTTATTTTATTGCTTATTTTAGTTTTTCATTTAAATATTTTTAAATAATATCATTATAATTATTTAATAAATCATTTCTATAATTAATAAAATAAAAAGCTAAAAAATTTTAATTATAAAATATTATTATTAATTTTTAATAAATTTCTTATTTATTATAAAAATTAATTCATAAATGTAAAAAAAATATACTAAAAATTTTATTATACAAATTTTTATCTAATATCTTTAATATTTTTTTTTTTCATTACACTTCACCTTGTCATCATTGCTACGTTTGTCTCGAAATATATAATTTTTTAATTAATTTTAATTTTATTATTATTATAATAATTTTATTTTTATTATTTTTTTAATTTTATTAAAATCAATTTCATCGTTAATTTTTATCCTTACCCCAACCCAACCCAATCTATGTCGATTCGCCGCACAGCTGGTTCCTCGTCGTCAACTGACACAACTAGAAAAGAGCCTCAGCCATCGGAGCAGTTTGTTGTTGCTGTTAACTAGTCAACGACAGACAGAGCGATCTTTCTCAAATATATACATTTGCTTTCAAATTTTCATCAGTAGTGGGTGGCCATTAGCCTATGGCAACGACTTTAGGCTTGACCTCGACAAGCTCTCATTATCATTTATCAAAAACAGAAACTTTACGAAAGAAGAGAACCATTTAATGAAAAAAAGGACCAAAAAGATGTGGACTGCAGCCATAGTTGACCGGCGTATGGACGAAATCATTCCCTTTATTGGTCTTTTGCATGGGACCTACATTTGCAAAATGGTTGACTTTCTGATTACCGTCCATGCAGGGCATTTGCTACAGGCAAGCTTTCATAATGAAATTTAGTTATATTCATATTTTCTTATAACCTTTTTTGTATTTGAATTCGTTTTTCCTTATAGTCTACACTGTTCTTAGCGACAAATATATATATATATATATTTACAATCTTGGGGTTTCTTTTTATATAAGATCTCTTATGTTCCATTTGAAAATCTGACTAAAAAATCAATTACAAAATATATTTTTAATGCGGTTCGAATAATGCTATCGGTTTAAGGCTGTTACTTGTCTAAAAGACCATTCAAATCTCATTTTTTTGTATATCCATTTTTCATTTTATTAATTTGTGTTGATTTTTTTTTTTTTGGGATTATATTATGATCAGTTTATTTGGTTATTTATAGATTTTCTTTTCCTCAATGTACTAATTAATTATATAATACCGATTGATGGTTATTTGATTTTGATTATATAACCAATATCTTATTTGGAACGCATGAATTATTAAAAATATTAAACTTTCTTATAGAAGATTTTATATATTAATACCTACAGATAATAAGTTAATCAATTCTTGAACTAATTAAAATGAAGTAAAAGTTTTATTCAAATTTAAATTTAGCTTAGTTGATTAATATAATTACTTTTAAAAAGAAATATTTAATAGGTGTGGGATTCAATTCTTAATACTTATAATTTCTTCTCATTATCATTATCTGATTACAATTTTTTTTTTAATAAAAACACACACACACACAAAATCCATAATATATAGAAACCCAGCCAACAAGTTTGAAAAATATTTTCTTTATCATTAAAGTTTGAATTAGTTTCATAGTTAGGTAAACTTCAATGTTGAATTTGAAATTTGTAGATGCGTGTCGCCACATATAGTAGCATGTCACATTCACAACTTCGTCGGTAGGGCATAAAAAATTTCTATACTTCGATTCTTCAAAGGCTACCAAATTCGAATTTTATTTACACACAAAACATATATTCCAATGGATTTCTAAATCGGTATATTTAACATTTGAATATTTTTCCTTTTTATTTTTTGACTAGTTGTGGTATGAATTAAAACCTAGCTAAAAGCTCTTCTTCTATTTGGGTGATTGTCAATTTGTCATAATTTTATACCAGTCTTTAGCAAGAGTATATCACTTATAATTATAATTATTATAGTACAGTTAACTAATCCTAATTCAATATTGTATAGGTTTATAAAAATATGTGGAGTCCACAATTTTAAATGGTGGATGCTTGCATAATTTTTTATTGTGTTTGTTTAATTGTAATATTGTAGTAAAAAAAGTTGTTGGTGATATCCTTCCGTCTTTAGTTTCTCACCAAACAATATGTCCTATGGCCTAAAGCCAATAGTTAGTTTCATGACATTTCTTCTATTATAGTATTTATTTACAATCAGATTTGGTAGCTTTAAAAGTGTTTAATTAGATTTGGTAATTCAAACTTCATATTTCTAAAATGGAGTCTTAAAATCTAACTCTCGAATTGTCATAGGCTATGAAAAAATTATATTACGAAAGAAGAACACACATGAAATAAACTCATATTCTTTTTGGTAAGATTAAACACTCGCATTTTTTTTTTTTTTTGGTATAAAAGAGGCTATAGTCTGAAGATAGAGGAAATGATATGTTAAGATTTGAATTAATCCAAAACCACTAGATACCACCTCTTAAAGGTGATTGTATGAACCAATTTAATTAAATTTCATAATCTCATATTTTGCATGTTAAGGTCAGCTGACAAGAGCGTGAATTAAGATTCAAAAAAAGAAGAAAGTGTAATTATAATAAGATTATAATAGTCTTAAAGGTCATCAAAAGAGAAGTAGCTAGGTTACCTTTAATTCAGTGTGCAATCAAACAAAATAAAGTCATCTTTATCGTCTAATGCTATTGGCATGAAACAACACTTATCTTTGCTTCCTCCAACAAGAAACCCCAAAAATAAATTTAAAAAAAAAAGGCAAAGGGAAAAATAATACGCTAGAAAATGAGTTCCATTAAGAGCGATGTGCAAACATATGTTTGTAGAACCCCTTTTTAGGGATGTTAAAACGTACTGAATTAAAGAATTTGACACATTTTTCAGATAAAGGAAAGCACACATGCAAGTGGATGGATATGAGCATGCATTATACTTCTTCTAATGAAGAAGAATATTATTAAAAAAAGCAATAGATAGCTATCTAGCAAAGTAATATATTCTCCTCTACTCGTTTTAAAAGATATATATGATCGTCATGTAGTAAATCTGAAGAAAACCTTTTGTGTCTATCCAATTTAAACTTTCTACAATAGTCATCGATTGCGATTACTTAAGCTCTTATAACAATGCTTTATAAACTCAAGCTTGATTAGGTAATTAGTGAAATATAAAAGTTGAAGAAGTTCAAATTAATTTCTTTTCTTTATTTTAGCTTTGTCCAATTGTTTAAAAAGAACAAAAACTTTTGAAATGCTTCATTTCATACATTCATCCGCAGACAAAATCATGAAGGGGATTGAAATAATGAATCAAATCGAGAAGAGAGATCAAGTTTTATATTATAATATTATCTAATTTTGGAGGGATGGCCCCTATCCACCCCCTAGATTTGCCCATGTTCATCCCGATAAATTCTCAAAAGCTAGTTGCAAATGCAACTTGAAATATATTTTTAAATAACAACTATAGTGGGAGCGTTGGGTGGGGGGGGGGGGGGGGAGAGAGGGGGAGGACACAAGAAAATTGTTTTAATATGAAATATGAAACCCTAGCTAACTAATCATTGATGGAATATGCAAAATCTAGTGT